AAATGCAATACATCCCACCACAGTGGGAAAGAAAGCAGGTGACTTGTGTGGCTCCTCCCTCTGCTCACCTGGTTGGGCAATGTCAAAGCTCCTGCTCTACCTTTTTAATGGCTCCTTATCGTAAATCATAGCAGAAACCAAAAAACCTGAGTACAAATTGGTGCTCAGACTTTCTAAGTACAAATGCCATCTGCAGGATAGGCTTTGCAAAACTTTTAGACACCTGAGCTCTGCTTGGAAAAGCAAGAGAGATAACATTGGGGTGGGGAGTTGGAAGAAGCAGGCAGAGTAACTGACCTTCCCTTTTTTACCTTTCAAAAAGGCCTTGCATTTTTACCTGTCTATACAACAGGAATACTCTAGGTGGTAAACAGAGACATTTCTTTCACACAGGATGCCAAAACCCATGCCAGCCTGAATATATTTGAACAGAAACTGATACCTTCTCTATGTCTGGACAGGTAACAAAATTTGAATGGTTTTTTGTTTTGTTTTTAACCCCACTTTATCCCCCAAAGGCCTCTTGAGTTGCTGAAACCACTAATTAAATTTGCCACTCCATTTAAAACAATAAGTAATTTTTTTAAAAGCAATTACGTAAAAACAAAAACTATTCCAGCTAAAATGTTGGCATTGCTTTATTACAGGTAAAAAGAAGCAGATGTTGCTGGACTATTACTCCCATCATCCCTGACCATTGGCTATGCTGGTTGTGGCTGATGGGAGCTGGAGTCCAACAGCATCTGAAATATTGCAAATTAGTGGGGTTGCGGGTCTAAAATTGTGGTGGTTTTTAAATATTTGTATCTGTGGGTGTTTGAGTAATCCATCTTGATCACATGGTTCCTCCCAAAAATCCTGGCACCTGTAGTTTGTTAAGGGTGCTGAGATTTGTTAGGTGACCCCTATTCCCCTCACAGAACTACAATTCCCAGAGTGGTTTAACAATTAGTCCTTCTTCCAAAGGAACTTTGGGAATTGAGCCAGTCAGCCTTTCAGCCTAACCTCTACCTCACAGGTTGGCGGTGAAGGGGGAATAGAGGAGGGGCAGATCCAAGTATGCCACCTTGAGCTGTTTGTACAAATAAATCATGTTTTTTTCCAATATTTCCTTTCCTTTCACAGTTTCCACCTATCCTTGACCCACTCCAATGTTGGCTTCTTCAAGGTAAATAAAGAGGGCGGGGAGTTAAAGAGAACAAATCAGATTCAGCTTGTAGATAGAGCTGAATTGTCCATGCCATTTTTCTGATCTAAACCTCTTTCCTGAAGCCATGGTTGTCCTTCTGGAGAAAATAGGCTTTCCCCAAAGGGGCAAATAGTCTCATTGTGTGGGGTATGTGTGATTTAGTTCAGGAAAACAGCACAGGGGGAAAGGGTAAGATAGCCCTCCCCTCCAGAACCAGTTCCAGAGCTGCTTTTGACAAAGAAAAAGAAGTGTCAGGAGACACAATCACAAATCTCCTGCTTTTAAATGGTTCCACAGGGCGGCCATAACCATGGGCTGAGCTGTTGGTGTGCAGCTGCTGTTTGCTGTGGAGACTGACTGTGTTTTTCTGTCTTTGCCAAAATTCACTGCACTCAAGACCTGCAATAGCACAAATAAAATGGCCTGATCTGTGTGGTGAATGAGGGCATGATTTTGAAAGCAGGAGGCGCACAGTGAACATAACATGTCTTGCAGTGCTTAGGCGCTAATGATTAGATCCCCATCATAAATGACTTAAAATCATAACATAGAAACCAGTCCCCCTCTCTCTTTCTTACATCTAGATGCTGCCTTCAGTCTACAAAACTTCCTAGGGGGTGGCCCACAGCCATCATAATACAATACAGTGGTACCTCGGGTTACAGACGCTTCAGGTTACAGACTCAGTTAACCCAGAAATAGTACCTGGGGTTAAGAACTTTACCTCAGGATGAGAACAGAAATCACGCGGAGGCAGCAGGAGGCCTCATTAGCTAAAGTGGTACCTCAGGTTAAGAACAGTTTCAGGCTAAGAACGGACCTCTGGAACGAATTAAGTTCTTAACCCGAGGTACCACTGTAAAATAATATTGGGCCATTATGTGTGTGAGTGGGCCTTGTAAAATTATCTCTTAGCAGTTCTCTAACTGGAACTGACATAACATTTTCTTTGTTGTTCTTACTCTGAGTGCTTCCAAATACAGTGGTACCTCGGGTTAAGTACTTAATTCGTTCTGGAGGTCTGTTCTTAACCTGAAACTGTTCTTAACCTGAAGCACCACTTTAGCTAATGGGGACTCCCGCTGCTGCCACACCACTGCTGCGCAATTTCTGTTCTCATCCTGAAGCAAAGTTATTAACCTGAGGTACTATTTCTGGGTTAGCAGAGTCTGTAACCTGAAGCGCCTGTAACCCAAGGTACCACTGTATGGATGATTCAGGCTGAGTACACGCTATACCTTTAAAGCACATTCAAAGCGCATTATGTCCTTCAGAGAATTCTGGTTGCTATCCTTGGAACTTTTGTGTGTGGAGAAAGGGTTAAATGTGCCCCCCCCCAAGTGAACTGCTGTTAAGAATTCCCCCTTTTCCTTGCTGCCTGCAATTTTGGAGGATGGCTGAGAGGGGCAAGATAACTGATAGGAAGGCAATGCAATTCGGAATGGGAATGCAATAGAGCTGGTTCCGAGAGAGAGAGAGAGAGAGAGAGAGAGCGAGAGCGCAAAGAAAATATCTGGAGCACAATCTATACAGGTCTTTACTGGCCTATATCTGCCAGAACAGCTGTGTGATAGGTCATCTCCACCTGATGAATTCTTATTATTATTATTTCAACAATTTGTATACCACTGAATCAGTCATCTCTAGGCAGTGCAGCTGCTCTGTTGTGTTAAAAATGTCAAATTTTGAGAGACTGGGAGGAAATAACAGAAACTGAACAGGAGAAACGGGGAAAGAGGGTGTTTTGCTCATGATGTCAAGCAGATGCTTCACAAAAAGCAGAGGACAAAAGTGTGAGAAATCCACAATAAATCTTAAGTGTAGAGGCATCCTGTGCCACTAAATCCAAATTCTCTCACATGGCAGGTTTCGCTTTTGAAGAACTTCATGTCTTACATTTTACGGAATGGAGTAATACCAGCAGCCAATGGTAAGTGTTGTGTTTGGATTGTTTCCCCATCACCACTGTTACTTAATGATCCCAGTCTCTGGAAATTACAGAAAATCCTATTTGAAGAATGAGAAGTAGTCGCGATAGAGCTTGTATTTTCGTCACTTGGTGTGACGTGTCGTAATTGGCATCACATTCTTTATGGCAAATACTTTAAGGAACATACTGCTCCAATAAGATTATAAGATGCTTAATGCTTTGCACTAGGTCAATCCGGTTGTCTTGTCAGCAGACCCAGTACACACTGTCAACTAGTGGTAATTTGGATTTACAAGACCATGTGAACATGTCCACATACAACTGCTGATAAAGGAGTGCTTATTCTTTCTTTCCTTTCCTTCAATGGATCTGGTGTATATTTCCTTTCAGAGTAAGACAATAAAGTTATCACTGGTTAATGACTGGAGGCATTGGCCCTGGAGACTCTTTGTACACTTAATACTGTAATATTCTGATGAGTATGTAGTTACGTGACAAGAGATAAAACTCCTGCAGTTCTTGTCTGTATTGCATTTCTAACAACCATTTATGGTTTATAGAGCATTTACAGCATTTACAGAATAACAAAATTGTACTGGGCATAGGTAAAGGTAAAGGTACCCCTGACCATTAAGTCCAGTCGTGACCGACTCTGGGGTTGCGGCGCTGTTAAAAAACAATAGCGCTGAGAATCTCTTCTCTCTTTTATTAAGGTAAACTGAAGGAAGGACTTCCTCTCTCTAAAATGGACAGCATGATGCTTGTGGAACCAGTTGTTACAGTTCACCAGGTGAGATTCTGCAGTGCCCACACCTGTCTGTCCTGTATGCCGAGAGAGAGTTGGTTAGGGTGATGTGATGCAAGTTCTGATTCCTGGTGGGACTTGTCATCAGAATGTTGCCGTGTTCTCACATCCTAGGGCAGGGGTGCCCAAAGTTTTTTCAAAGAGGGCCAGATTTGATGAACTGAGGGCTGACCAAAGTTGTTGAGCTTTTTTAAGGATTTAATTTTACCCTAAAGTTGTGCTTTTTAAAGGATTTTACCCCAGGACATATACTGCCACAGGGACCGGATAAAATCGTCCAGCAGACCAGATTAGGCCCCCGAAACAGACTTTGGTCATGCCTGTCCTAGGGTCTTCAGGCTGCCTGACTCACAGGCTGAAGAGAGTCCCTTTAAATAAAAGGGGGAAAAGGTTGTACATAGAGACAAGCATTTCGACGAACACTTTGTAGTTCAGAGAAAGGCTGGCCAGCATTTTTCAAAGTGACTCATTGTGGAGGAAAGACAAACGCTTTCCTGTGTTTTTGTATTTGTTGGTATCCTGGTGTAAACAAGTCAATGTTCATAATTCGTATTTTAAAATCCATAAGAACTGTAAGGAAACAAGCAATACACACTAAAAACAATAATTACCAAATAAGCAGTGTATTGTTAGCAAAAAGCCTGATCAACTGTTTCTGATGACCACCATATTTACATCTTGACTTCTCCACTCTCATTAGTTGATTAGCTCTGTTTTACATTGTTTCTCTGATCATCACATAACCTAAAGAGAATTTCTTAATTTCTTCATGACGGTATCTTCACAAGAACCCCAGAATACTTTCTGAGCAACCAGTAACCCCAGCTAAAGTAAACATTGATTATAGACCTTTGTGTGTTTAATAGAAGTCTTTTTCGACTCCTGCAAACTTCCAGGTTTCACTTGGACCATACAAGTTAGGGAAGGCTTAGCAAAGAGGGAAGGGACTGCAAGCTGTAGATGGAAGGGAAACATCCACCACCCCACCTGATCTGTCTGGCTCGGCATGGCTGAACAACTGACAACTGGCTTTTTAATATATTTTCTCCCTCTCAGAGCAATCTACAAAGCACAGCTGCTGTGCAACATCCTTCTACTTTATTGACATCCATGTCAGTTACACATCAGCAGTGCTTACACTCTTTCTGTTAAATGACAATGTATGTCTAACATTCAGTTCACAATACCTCTGAAGGTGTATTAGTCATGGCCAAGCCATTAGCAAGCTGCAGCTTGTGGCAACTTCAAATAAATGTTTGTATATCTTCTCAGGGCTATTTGCTGATTTCCACCGACCTGGAGTATGATGAAGAAGGAGACCAAGCAGATTCTGAAGGCTTTTTCGTTATAGATGCATGAAACCTCGAAATTTCTTCTGTTCTGTCTCAAGAGGGAAGATGTAACAAGAAAGTGAATGATAATGATTGAAAACATTCTGTGTGGTCGTGTGTGTGTGTGTGTGTGTGTGTGTGTGTGTGTAAAAGTGCCTTTGAAAGACATTGAACAGGTGAAGTAATATCTGTTAATGGGCCAGCAAACCATTCAGAAAGGAATGCAGACATTCGTGTGCTTTTTTGGTATCTGAAGAAGTGTGCATGCACACGAAAGCTCATACCAAGAACTAACTTAGTTGGTCTTTAAGGTGCTACTGGAAGGAATTTTTTTTGTTTCAACCTGGAGATGTCAGTCATTGAACCTTCTGCATGCAAAGCAGATGGTGGGAGCCTTTGAACACAGTTGTGCGTTACATCAAGAGTGAATTGGGAATTGATTCAACGATGCTGTAGATATTACATTCATTACTGAGTAATTGAAGGAATGAGAGAGAGGTTTCTTAGAATGTCAGTATACTGTTACGTATTGATCTTTTACACACAATTTTATTTGCAATTTTGTATTGTACTTTTTCAGAATAAAAACAAATTTAAAAATTATACAGATGTGTATCTTAATGCCCTTTGCAGGGACTGTGTTAAGACCTAAATGATTAGGTATTCAAAGTAATAAGAGCCTGTTAAAAGATATTAGTCAAGTTGTGGGTTCTCTGAAGCATCACCAGGTGTTGTTTGTAATGAGACACTTGTCCTAATCTCTTGGAACTTGCCTTTAATGCCCCCCCCCCCGCATAATCCCACTTTAGCATTATAGTTATTGAAAAAGTAGGGTTATCTTAGTATTCAAAACTTCATGCCTGCATAATACTTTCATCCATACAGGCTATGTCTTCCATGTTGTGCATTATAGTCCCTCTGGACAGCAATAATGGGGGGAGCATTGGAGAAGGATCACAAAACTACAGGGTGGATAAAAATCAATGGGTTTTTTTAAAAAAAAAATCAGAATTTTTAAAATTTAAATCGGATTTTTAAAATAAAATGCTTTTGGAGGAAAAATCTTTCTAAACATAGTTTTCTGCTTAAGTTGCATTATAGTCCAAAGGCTATTCATCAGGAAATAAGGATTTGTTTTAAGTTTTTTGTGTGTGCTAAAACACAAAGTGTTTTTTTTTAAAAAATCGTTTAACCACATCAGTTAACAAACATGGATATGTATGCTATAATATTAATTGTTTTAATTAAATAAATTGTTTAAATTGTTACTAATGATTATTTTTCTCCTTCCAGTAAAGTATAGCAGAAAAGTTGTCCAAATATAAACAGTTAACTTATTAAGCCTCACAAGAATTTCATAGCTATAATTTATAATTATAATAGTATAACCAAATCAGCAATTTTTGATATAACTGTAAAAACTACTCTGAAAATTTATTATTCCAAAAATGAAACCTTCATCAGGTTGTAAATATTAAGATTATACCAGCAAGAACTTTTTTCTGTAAAAAAATAAAATAAAATGATTTAAACCAAGTCTTACTGACTAGTGATTTAAATTGTGATTTAAAATTGCTTTGATTTAAATCAAATCCACCCTGCATAACTACTAAGCAGAAGAAACGTAACACTAACATACTACAGTTGTGTCAAGAATATGTTGCAGAATATACCCACAATAAAGCACCAGAGAGGTTCCAAAGGTTTTGTCCACCCATCTTTTGCAGTAAACATCTCATGCCTTAAAAAAAAAATGTGCTACAGCGCAGCCCTAACCATGTCTACTCAGAAGCAAGCCCTGCTGAATCCAGTGGGGCTTACTCACCAGAAAAGCAGGGTTAAGAACTGCAGCCTTTAAAGCGGCGCCAGAAGGCTGCTCTAATGATCTTCCGTTCTTTTGATATTTGACCCACACCAAGCGCGGTCACTTCCACAACCAGCTAATTCAACACGCGGTGCCGTTTTGGACACTAGGCGGCGCTGCAAAGGAGGTAGGGGGGGGGAAGAAGAAAGCCACTGGTTGGTTCGCGAAAGGCGAACGAAGTTTGTGCCTCTGCGGGCGCCGTCCAATCCTTTAGTCCTCTTCAGCTTCTGCCTGAGGGAGGCTGCGCGCGACCTCCTCGGCTTCCGTAGCGGCGCTGAAGAGGAGCGTGTGCGCGCCGTTGGCGGAATTCAGTGACACGGAGCCACGGCAGAGAGCGGAGCTCGCTAGGAATCGCCGCCGCCGCCATGAGCCGAAGCTACAACGATGAGCTGCAGTACCTGGACAAGCTGGACAAGCACTGCTGGCGTATCAAGAAGGGCTTCGTGCCCAACATGAACGTGAGTGGGTCGGAGGACGGTGGGGATCTGTGTGTGGGCAGGCACGTAGGGGCGGGTTCAGTCTCAGCCGGTGCTTAGCCCCCCCCCCCGGCTCGCTTTTATTACTTAAGTGAAGTAATGGTTAAGACTTCCCCTACGCATGTGCAGAGTGCCGCTTCCTCAAGATTTAAGAACCGCATTCCCAGCTGCTTTCCGTACCTGGTTGGGCGGGGGTGCCTTCTGACGTATATCATTCTTCAGTACATTAAGTGTCAAATCCCGGTTTGAAGTTAGTTTATGCTACATTCGGATTATTAGTAGCATTATGATTGCACTATTTATGCATGTTGAGCTTTAAAGCACTGCTGAAACCTTTCTCTAGTGAGATGAATGTGGTATTCAACCGGTTTTAAAACCGCTTGAAAGTAAAATTTTATATGCATGATAAAATCTTTTTTTTAAAAAAAATGCCTCCTGAAGCAGGTTTCCATCACTGCTGGGTGTTGCTGTATTCTTGCTGTCTTAAAAAGGGCTACCAGCAATCAGTACAGTGGTACCTCGGGTTACATACGCTTTAGGTTACATACGCTTCAGGTTACAGACTCAGCTAACCCAGCAATAGTACCTCGGGTTAAGAACTTTGCTTCAGGAGAGAACAGAAATCGTGCTCCGGCGGCGCGGCAGCAGCAGGAGGCCCCATTAGCTAAAGTGGTGCTTCAGGTTAAGAACAGTTTCAGGTTAAGAACGGACCTCCAGAACAAATTAAGTACTTAACCCGAGGTACCACTGTATTTGGGTCTTGGCGTCCTTCATGTTCTCAGAAGTGGTCTGGGTTGCTTCTGTGGCCTAGAGCCAAGATACAGACTTTCCCAGATTGCCCCATAAGAAGGAAACTGTATTTTAGAAATGTTTAGGGCTTCAAGTACTTCTGAGAAGCTACCTCTTCATTTTGTCACAACTAGATGAGAGTCTCTAGGACTCCTCAACAAAGTTCTCACTTTTGATCTCTAACTGAAGATTGCTAACTACAGTACTGGTGTCATTCGTGGGTCAGAAGATACAGTGGTGCCTCGCAAGACGAAATTAATTCGTTTCGCAAGTTTTTTCTTCTTGCGAGTTTTTCGTCTTGCGATGCACGGTTTCCCATAGGAATGCATTGAAAATCAATTAATGCGTTCCTATGGAAACCGACTTCAGACCAGGTCCGGGGACAGTCTGTCCCCCGACCTCTTCTGAAGGCTGGGGGGGGAAGTCTTTGCTCCCCCCCCCCACGGCAGCATTTTAAAATCGCCCCGGACAGCGGAGGACTTCTCCGCTGTCCGGGGCGATTTAAAAGCCCCTGGGAAGGCAGGCAGGGGGGACAAAGATTTTCGCCCCCCGCCAGCCTTCAGAAGAGGTCCAGGACCTCTTCTGAAGGCTGGCGGGGGGCGAAAATCTTTGTCCCCCCTGCCTGCCTGCCTTTAAAAGCCCTCCCGGGAGAGCGGAGAAACGCAGCGCGTTTCTCCGCTCCCCCGGGAGGGCTTTTAAAGGCAGGCAGGCAGGCAGGCAGGGGGGACAAAGATTTTCGCCCCCCGCCAGCCTTCAGAAGGCTGGGGGGCGAAAGTCTTTGCTCCCCCCCCCCCACGGCAGCATTTTAAAATCGCCCCGGACAGCGGAGGACTTCTCCGCTGTCCGGGGCGATTTAAAAGCCCTCCCGGGAAGGCAGCCAGGGGGGACAAAGATTTTCGGCCCCCGCCAGCCTTCCCCTCTTTTGAAGCAAGGGGCGGAGGGGAGAAGATCACTTCTCCCCTTTGCCGCCCCTTGCTTCAAAAGGGGTCCAGGGGGAGAGAGAGGAAGGCGCGCGCCTTTCCCTCTGTCCCCTCTTTTGAAGCAAGGGGCGGCAACGGGGAGAAGATCGCTTCTCCCCTTTGCCGCCCCTTGCTTCAAAAGGGGTCCGGGGGGAGAGAGAGGAAGGCGCGCACCTTTCCCTCTGTCCCCTCTTTTGAAGCAAGGGGCGGCAACGGGGAGAAGATCGCTTCTCCCCTTTGCCGCCCCTTGCTTCAAAAGGGGTCCGGGGGGAGAGAGAGGAAGGCGCGCGCCTTTCCCTCTGTCCCCTCTTTTGAAGCAAGGGGCGGCAACGGGGAGAAGATCGCTTCTCCCCTTTGCCGCCCCTTGCTTCAAAAGAGGTCCGGGGAGAGAGAGGAAGGCGCGCGCCTTTCCCTCTGTCCCCTCTTTTGAAGCAAGGGGCGGCAACGGGGAAAAGATCGCTTCTCCGCGTTGCCGCCCCTTGCTTCAAAAGAGGTCCGGGGAGAAAGGGGAAGACGCCAGCATTTTAAAAAACCTCGGGACAGCGGGGGACTTCTCCGCTGTCCGGGGCGAATTTAAAATGCCGCCCGCCAGCATTTTAAAAAACCTCGGGACAAAGGAGAAGTCCCCCGCTGTCCCGGGGTTTTTTTAAATGCTGCTGGGCGGCAGCGCTGCCGCCCGGCAGCATTTTAAAATCGCCCCGGACAGCGGAGAAGTCCTCCGCTGTCCCGGGGTTTTTAAAAAACCTCTCCGGCCCCCCGCCAGGCTTCAGAGCAGCCTTCCGAAGCCTGGCGGCGGGAGGAGGTCCGAGGACAGTGGGCAAGACGCCCTGTCCCGGAGATTTCCCTATGGGCTTTCGTCTTGCGAAGGAAGCCCATAGGGAAATTCGTTTTGCGAAGCGTCTCCAAAACGGAAAAACCTTTCGTCTAGCGGGTTTTCCGTCTTGCGAGGCGTTCGTCTTGCGGGGTACCACTGTACATTTTGTTCCATGATTCAAGATATCTGAAATTCTTACTGAAACTCAACAGCTTCTGTAACAAGTGTTCAGTCAAGCTTATTATATTCCTAGTTTTAGTCCATCTAAACCTTTACTAGAAGTGACTAAAGTTTCCCTAATTGTGGCTAAGCCTTGTAGCCTGCTTAGATGCAGCTACATTCCAGCTTCTGCATGAATGGTAAATTTTTATTACTGCCCTTATGTAAGAATTGATGCATTTTGTTTCCCTTTTTCCTCATTCTTCTGTTTGTAGGTGGAAGGTGTCTTCTACGTGAACGATCCTTTAGAGAAGTTAATGTTTGAAGAGTTAAGAAATTCATGCAGAGGTGGAGGTTAGTATGTGTTGTTGTCACCCAATCTCACTGGTTTGTTGTGTGTGGAATCCTAGCTCCAGATTCACTTTTGATGAATCCAGAATTCATATAGATTCAACCAATGCATTTAGAGTTTAGGACTGCCTATATGTTCAGGCACCATAGAGTGATTCTTAATTGATGAAAAATATTGTGAGCCTTCATGAAAATGTTCCCTCTATAATTAATCTGCCACTTGTCAGACTATGGTGAAACACAACTTATTTTAAGACTTAGGCTTCATTTAGAAGTAGAACATGCTGCAGAATTTTGCTTGCTTAATTTAAGCTAGTACTTACTGGTCTGTCAAAGGGGATCTTAACTGCACTGAAATGAAACCAAATACCCCTTAATCTTGGCTTTGAAACATCTGTGTTCTTGGTCACAGCTTGCCTTATGCCAGTTCTAAGTAGATGTGCTTCACAGTGAAGTTTTCACCTGTGTAACATGGTGATGCAAATTTAAAGGAAAGTTGATGTAATGGTGTGATGTCATCAACCACAAATTTGTATGAAAGGAGGATGATTGTGCTTCTCATCATCCATCTTTTTTAGGAGCTGGTGGCTTCCTCCCAGCCATGAAACAAATCGGAAATGTAGCTGCACTGCCTGGCATTGTTCATGTGAGTAATTTTAAAGAGTTGTCCCTATATCCTGTTGACCCATTGTTTCAAAATAGAAGCCCCATATGTGTTGTCAGCATTTGTAGCATTGCCCTCTTAATTATTCCAAAAATAATTTTGGAATAATTCAGCCTTCATTAAATTGACCCATCACAACAATTTCCTGACATTTAAACACCAGCAATCCAGGGCAAGATGACAGCTGTTTACATTCACCACTTACTTTTGAAGGGGGCCTACATGCAACTTATTCTGGCCAATTTCTACATTTGTGAGCTGCCCTTCATTAATCTGCTGAGTTTTTGGCTAGGAACAAAGGATTTTTTTAAAAAGAAATCAGTGTCTGTGTGGCAGGGCAGTGTCTGTGTGGCAGGGCAAGTAGAACTTGAGTCCATGCTGTCATAGAATCCTCATTTGTTCACATCTTATGACTGATTGCCTTTCTTTTGTTTATTTTTAAAATGAATTTCAGAGATCTATAGGACTTCCAGATGTCCACTCAGGCTATGGGTTTGCTATTGGTAACATGGCTGCCTTTGATATGAATGACCCAGAAGCAGTGGTATCACCAGGTATGAGCAGTTTGAATGTGATGTTCTCTGTGCAGGGAGAGAACCCTTATTCTGCAGATCTATGCAATGTATTGAAGCCAGATGGGAAAACAAAATGTGTTTCACAGTACAGTCGTACCTCTGCTTACGTATCCTTCCACTTACGTAAACTTCAGGATACGTAAGCAGCAAACCCAGAAGTATATTTCCGGGTTTTTGCTGTGCACGCATTCGCAGAAGCGGTCTACTGCTGCATGTCCATGCGCACGCAGAAGTGGCCCCTCCAGTTGTGGAAATCTCGGGATCCGATGGGAGCTCCGGAACAGATCCCGTCCACAACCGGAGGTACCACTGTACTCATTCAGATGGAGGTACATTGCAGATGAATATGTAAATTGTCAATTAACTTACAGTTATTGTCTCACTGGACTCTCTGAAATCCATGCCTAGGACACTATCAACTGTAATATAATGTAGCAATGAAGACATCCACCCTGAAGCAAACTTAAAACAAATACAATTTAGGAGTGCTTGTTTTGGAGTAAGAAGGGTATATTTGTTTTTAATACTAAAATAACCCTTATGAATTCTGCATATTCAGGCTCCTTGAGCAGAAGTTCCATGAAGTGCTATCTTTTTGTAATCTGTGCCTTCCAAACCAGTGCAGATTAGTTGTGTTCCTTCTGACTAACAAAACTGAGGGGTTGATGTTTTTACTTGTCCAAGTCAGGGGACATTTACTGAAAAATATTTATAACTTCTCTTGAAGAACATTTGATTGTGGTGATGGGTCGGTTCTGCAATTGCATGCATGAATTTTGAAGGGTGCATTTGTATTTATTTTCCTCATGCAGGTGGTGTCGGATTCGACATTAACTGTGGTGTACGGCTCTTGCGCACCAATCTTGATGAGAGTGATGTCCAACCTGTGAAGGAGCAGCTTGCTCAGGCCATGTTTGACCACATTCCTGTTGGTGTGGGGTCAAAGGGTGTCATTCCTATGAACGCCAAGTAAGTGTTAACTTTCCTTTCTCCAGCAGCATCTCCATACTGGAAGGGTGTCTTCCTTCTTCCTTCCACCCTTGTCTTTTTGTGTGGGAAGCAATGTATAAATTTAATAAGCCCTAACTGTACCTTAACGGGCAAGTATCTAGCCATGTTGTAGTAGGAAATAAAGAGCCATGTGTCATTGTTAATTCGGTCCTGTATTTTTTTAATTGGTTTTTTAAAAATAGCACCCCCTTAACCAAAATTGCACTGTATATAGTGAAAATACACAGTAAGAATCCACAGTCAGCAGTCTGAAATGATTTAACTGAGAGCAACCAAAAAAAATCTGGATATCTACAAAAGTTCAGGATTGTTTTTCTTATGTAATCAGTACAACAATAGCAATCCGTTGCGTCAATTACTAGAAGTCAATCTCTCTCTGTGTTGCCCCAGGGATTTAGAGGAGGCTCTGGAGATGGGGGTAGATTGGTCCCTCCGAGAAGGCTATGCCTGGGCTGAGGATAAAGAGCACTGTGAAGAATATGGGAGGATGCTGCAAGCTGATCCAAATAAAGTCTCTGCGAGGGCTAAGAAAAGGGGTTTGCCCCAGGTAATTGATCTTCTGAGATGATGTTGCATTACTGCTTAGAACTTCATGCTAACTTCTTGGGTACATTTCAGCACAGTGAGAATATGCAAGGAAAAATAAGTCTTGAGACTTCCGGTCGGCGCCAGCGTTTAATGGCGGTCCTTGCCTCGAGCTCCGAGGGAGGACTGCTCCGCGAGTTCGGGTCTGACCCGCTACGGCGAGCGGGGGACCCCTAAAATCACAGGCGCTGAAGCCTGTGAACAAGGAGACTCGGCGGGCACCTTTCGCGCCCCTCGGTACTGCAAAAGAGCCTTTTTAAAGGCTCCGGACCGGCATCGGGAGTGAGCGCGGTGCTGAGAGTCGTAACCCAGCCTGCGGAGTGAAGCCGCGTCGCCATTGAACGGAGAGCGCCGATTCCTTCCTGAAACTACAATTCGATCATAAACCCCGTGAGTAAGATTGACAGACGGGAACGGGACATTTAAATTAAATTTTGAAAATTTGGCTGAAAATGGGGAAGGCATAAAGTAAGGAAGTCTGCCTCCCCGGACTGCATGGTAACTAAAGCAACGAAAGAGCAAGCTGCACTTAAATGAAAGTTAACTTTTTGGCTGTCAAAACCTGACATCTGACTCAAACTTCCCCCCAGCAAGCAGGAGAAGGGGGGAAGGAAATTTGGACATTGTAAACCTGCTGGAAATAAATAGAGGAAAAAGACCTTCCACTGCCAAAACCCTGAGACGGGCTGCTGAAGTAAGGCACCGGGAAAGTGAACTGTCAATTTAAACTGGATACAAAGTTGGGGTTTTGGCTGAAACAAAGTTATGAGATTTTAATGGAGTTATTTTGTTGAGCTTTCGAGGATACTGAAACTGTAATAAGAACTTTAACTGTGGACTTTTGGACTCTTTGTTTTTCCTTTGGGCTCTTTGTTTTCTGCCTCATGTTTATCTGACTCTTCTTAACTGGATATAATTAAATGCTCCCTCTAGAGGACTTAAAGAGAACCTGTCATAGTGAGAGAAAGAGAGTGGATTTTTCCACTTGTAAACTTTTCCTGTGAGAATTGACCTTGAGGATATGAGTGGCCAACCAGAAGAGATAACAACTAGAGCAAAAGCAAAACAAATTCAGCAAGCACAAAAGAAAAGGGGTTCGATGCAAGGCATACCACCAGCTGGACAGGAAAAGGTAGCAACTGCATCTATGGAGTCAATGACACAGGCATTGCTCAAAATAAATCAGTCTTTGGAAGCACTGACAAAGCAGTCAGCGGAGAATACAAAAAAATTGAATGATCTGACAACAAGATTGGACTTGAATACGGCAAGTGTAGCTTCTAATACAGAATCTATAAATAAATTGATCCAAGAAAATTCTGAAACAAGAAAAATTGCTCAAAGTGCAAAAGATACTGCAGATGAGACAAAGAGGGAGCTTGCACCGATTGCAAAAAAGGTGAATGAACATGATGCAACTTTAGCTTTGTGGGAACTTCAGAGAAAGGAGAAGAATTTGAAATTAAGACTGGTTCCAGAGAGCGAGAAAGACAATCTTGCGGAATTCCTCACAGAAAATATTTTGGAATTTTGGCAGGACGAGCTACAGGAGGAAGAACTTGAAATAACAACGGCTTTCCGGTTGGGCAGAAGGCAAGGCAAGAAGCCTAGGGATTGTCTGATTACACTGAGATCTAAAGAAGAAAGGGACAAAATACTGGATTTACATTACCATAAGGCTCTTGAAATTCAGAATTGTCAAGTTCAGATCTTTAAAGACATCCCTAAATATATCTTGGAGGTGAGGGCCTTCTACAAAGACTTGGTTTACCTGTTGAAGAAGAATAATATACTTTTCAGGTGGGAGTTCCCACAAGGATTATCTTTCAACTACGCAGGAAAGAAGATCAAAATAAAAACAGTCCAAGATAAAGAGCTGTTTTTGGAAAGATACCAGGAGGGTCTGCAGAAAGGAGTAGTAGAAACAACAGGAGACAAAGAATTGACAGATATTGCAAACCTCTCATTTGGACTTCTACCACCATCGGAGGAGGAACAAAAATTGGGAGCAGTGGGAGGAATAGGCACTTAGCAGTACAATGTCTCTGCAACTTCTTAGCTGGAATTGTAATGGTTTGAACCTTCCCAGAAAAAGACGCCAAGTTTTTCATATTTTGAAGAGAGAACAATTGGATTTAATATGTTTACAGGAAACGCACGTGACCAGGATACACAGGAAATTACTTGTAAACAAGAGACTCGGACAAGAATTTATTTCATCAGACAAGGTCAAAAAAAGAGGCGTCGTGATTTATGCAAAAGAGAAATTGGTCCCTAAAATGATATTTAAAGATGAACAAGGAAGATACCTGGCAATAGAAGTACAAGTTCAAGGGGAAAAAATTATGATATTGGGAATATATGCACCAAATGAAGGGAAGGCGGAATTTTTCAAGAAGTTGCATGAGACCTTAATGGATTATCTGGATTATAAAATTATAATGATGGGAGACATGAATGGTGTTGTCTCTACAAATATGGACAAGGCACAGAGACAAATAATTTCTAAAGATGGAAGACTACCAAAGACTTTTTTCGAAATGACTGAAACATTGGACTTGATTGATATATGGATAGTAAGGAACCCTCTGGAGAGAGAGGGAACCTTTTTCTCTGAAGCAAAAATGACATGGACAAGTGTCGAGTTGCAGCTCGGCATTCAGAGGAAAATCAGTCTCACACCATGATGGGTTCCGAAATATGGCTGCTCCTAGGGCTTATGCAGCACAGCTTTTATTGTGTGAAATGTGTGAAATAGAAAGATACAAAAAATACAAGTCAAGCAATTTGTTCTAGCCAGCAGATAAAGACCTTGGTACTAGACCATGCGAGCGATCAGACCATACTACGTTAGCCAATCATATAGGACAGCACGAGCTGTTCACGCGCTGTTCATGCTTCAAGGATGCTTCTAGCTATGAGATCACCCTGTAACAATAAAAACTTTGCTCATGCTCTCATGTACAAACAATCATTTTCCCACAGACAAGGATCGACCAAATTTGGGTAACTAGTAGCATGGCGCCAAAGATAAAAAAAGTAGAAATCTGCCCAAAGACTTGCTCCGACCATAACGCTGTGAAGATGGAGATGAAACTAACAACAACTGGAACCTTCAGATGGAGGATGAATGACGCCCTATTCAGAGACGAAGAGATTTATAAGAAGGCCCAAAAAACTTTGAAAGACTATTTTGAGATAAATTTGAGAACAGATGTGGAGAAAAGAACAATATGGGACGCAAGCAAGGCCGTGATGCGAGGTTTCCTAATACAACAAAATTCCATAAAGAGGAAAAAGCAGAATGAGAGGAAAGAAAAACTTTTGGAAAAGATAAAAGAAGGTGAAAAGAAATTGAGGTCCAAACCAAAGTCTCAAGAGATTTTGAGAGAAATAAAGTATTACCAGACGCAATATATGGAATTGATGAATCAAGAGATAGAATGGAAGATAAAGCAAATGAGACAAAGAACATTTGAATCGGCAGACAAATGCGGGAAACTCCTGTCATGGCAATTGAAAAAGAGACAAAAATTGAACACTGTGACAAGTTTGGAAATGGATGGAAAAACTATCCACAAACCAAACGAGATAAGCAATTGCTTTCAAAGTTTCTTTAGGAAACTATATGCACAAGGGCCAGTTGATGAACAGGAAATAGAAGAATTTATTAAGAAGTACGGACTACCAAAGATCTCAGATCAAAGTAAAATGATTCTGAATGAGAAAATAACAGGACAAGAAATAGAGGGTGCCATTCAGAATATGCAGGTGGGAAAATCTCCAGGACCAGATGGTTTAACGGCTAGATACTACAACGCATTGAAGCAATTGATAATACAACCATTGAAGGAGGTCTGTAATGAAATTTTGGAGGGGAAAAAGGCACCTGAATCGTGGAAAGAAGCTTTTATTTCACTTATACCGAAAACAGAGACTGAAAAGAACCAGGTTAAAAACTACCGCCCTATATCATTACTTAATGTGGATTATAAAATCTTTGCAGACATTTTAGCAAAAAGACTGAAGAGAGTGCTGATAGGGGAGATTCACAAGGACCAAACAGGCTTTCTTCCAGGGAGACATATGTCGGACAATGTGAGGAACATTATAGACATTTTGGAACTGCTGGAGGTGAACATTAACAGAAAGGCGGTTCTAATTTTTGTGGATGCGGAGAAAGCCTTTGATAATATTTGTTGGACCTTTATGAAGAAGAATCTCCAAGGGATGGGGGTAGGCCAAGGTTTTGAAAACGGTATAGGTGCTATATATTCGAAGCAAAAAGCAAAGTTGATTGTGAACAATGTGGTTACGGAAGAAATACCTATAGAAAAAGGCACACAACAGGGATGCCCAATATCCCCTTTACTTTTTATAACAGTCCTGGAGGTTTTGTTAAACATGATTAGAGGGGACCAATTGGTTAAAGGAGTTCAGGTCGGAGCCAGAAATTACAAACTAAGGGCATTTGCAGATGACCTAGTATTGACCTTGCAACAGCCAGATACTAGTACCAAAAGAGTATTAGAACTAATTGAGATATTTGGTCAAGTAGCAGGATTTAAACTGAACAAGCAAAAAACTAAAGTGTTGGAGAAAAATCTAACAATGGCAGAAAAAGAGAAGTTTCAGAATGAAACAGGTTTAGTAATAACAAAAAAGGTGAAGTACCTGGGTGTGAACTTGACTTCTAAAAATGTGAATTTATTCAAAGACAATTATGACAAATGTTGGACAGAGGTGAAGAAAGATCTAGAAATATGGTCAAGGTTGAGACTTTCCTTGTTAGGCCGAATTGCTGTCATCAAGATGAATGTATTGCCTAGAATGTTGTTTTTATTCCAGACACTCCAGATCCTGGACAAAATGGACTGTTTCAAGAGGTGGCAAAAAGACATATCAAAATTTGTCTGGCAGGGCAAAAAGCCCAGAATAAACTTTAAGATCTTAACTGATGCAAAAGATAGAGGGGGGTTTGCCCTGCCGGACTTGAGACTCTATTATGAATCGGCAGCATTTTGCTGGCTGAAACAATGGCTGCTTCTTGAGAACACAGACATTTTGGATCTGGAAGGGTACGACAACAGATTTGGTTGGCATGCATATATATGGTACGACAAGGTAAAAATACATAAAGGTTTTAAAAACCATATTGTTAGGAAAGCACTATACAATGTTTGGATAAGATACAAAGATCTACTGGAAAGTAAAACTCCCAGGTGGCTATCACCAATGGAAGCTAAAGAGACAAAAAAACTTAATATGGAGTCCAAATGGCCAAAATATTGCGAAATCTTAGAGCAAGATGGTGAAAGGGTTAAATTACAGAGTTATGACAAATTAAAGTCTAAAGTACGAGATTGGTTGCACTACCTTCAGATAAACGAGGTATTTAAACAGGACAGGAAAATAGGTTTTCAGATGGAGAGGTCGAAATTAGAAACAGAATTGTTAGAACCCAATACTAAGAACTTGTCAAGAATGTATAATTTGCTGCTGAAATGGAATACACAAGATGAAACAGTAAAATCAGCTATGATCAAATGGGCACAAGACATAGGTCATGACATTATGTTTGATGACTGGGAAAGGTTATGGAATACTGGTGTTAGATTTACGGCTTGCAATGCTTTGAGAGAAAACATAATGAAAATGATCTACAGGTGGTACATGACCCCAGTCAAACTTGCAAAAATTTATCATTTGCCCAATAATAAATGCTGGAAATGTAATGAGACTGAAGGTACTTTCTATCACCTTTGGTGGACCTGCCCGAAGATTAAAGCCTACTGGGAAATGATCTATAATGAAATTAAAAAGGTCCTTAAATGGACATTTTCTAAAAAACCAGAGGCTTTTCTCCTGGGCATGGTGGGCCAATTGGTGCCAAGGAAGGACAGAACTTTTTTTATGTATGCTACCACAGCAGCAAGAATTCTTCTGGCAAAGTATTGGAAGACGCAGCAGCTACCCACTCTGGAAGAATGGCAAGCGAAGGTGATTGACTACATGGGAATGGCAGAGATGACCGGCAGAATCCGTGACCAGGGGAGCGAGACAGTGGAAGAAGATTGGAAGAAATTTAAAACATACCTTAAAAATTGTTGTAATATCGAGGAGTGCTGAGATGTTATGGTGTTAAGAAACAGAGAATTGCAGCTGTAAATCATAAATTTAAGGGAATTATAAAGAAGATGAGTTAATTAATTAAATGGAGGGTTGCTGTTAAAAGGAAAAACAAGGATGCAGAAAAAGGGAGGTATGGGGAAGTCCGGGAAATAAGGTGAAGGAAAATGAGTTTATGAAATTATACATGTTTATTTGTTTGTACGTTTTGTTTTGTTTGTTTACTGTTTGTTTTTATTACATGTTTGGAAAACTAATAAAAATTATTTTTTAAAAAAAAGGAAAAATAAGTCTTGATGAGAGGATTATTATTATTGCTATTGCTATCACAATCACAATATCCCACAGGGGGTTAGTTACAGCAATTAAGACACAATATTAAAAACAGTTTAAAACAAATTACACTGACTAAAGGTGCTGGACTTGCTGGTAGCTAGTGAGGGCAGAATCTATGTTCAAGTATCATTCAATTCTTAGGAAGCTCAAGGAATTTCCTGAAAACCAATGTCTTGGCATGCTGCTTTGTTAGAACAAGGATGAGAAACCTATGCTGCTCCAGATCCTGTTGAAATGTAATTACCTTCATCCCTGGCCATGCTGGCTAGAGCTGATGGGAGTTAAGAGTCCCACAATAATCTGAAGGCAACAAGTTGTCCAATGTATGATTAACTTATGAAACAAACAGCAACAAGAAATATCGAGTAGGAGGATAATAGCTAAAAATTAAACCTCCATGTACAGATACAGTAACCCTTCCACAGCATCTGATCAATGGAGGTCATGTCATCAATGTCCTGGGTTTGAGCTTTGCAGAGGTGTCTGGCTGCAGATGAAGATAAGCACTGGGCATTGACTACATGGGCTTATGTGTGAACACAACAAGGAAATTTATATTCTCACAGTTCTAAACTGAGGCAAATATTTTACAGTTCAGTAAACTGTAACAGGTAGATTTCAGGCTCTCAGCAGTATCTCCTCCTCTAGCGAGATGCCACATGGCATCAAAGACTGACAGGCCATTGCCTCAACCTTTCTAAGGGAAACCAGTTGTATTCCATTTTGCTTCCCATTTCAGTATCTGCTCAAATCATAGCTAAGCTTTCTTGTTTTATTTGACAGCTGGGGACTTTGGGAGCAGGAAACCATTATGCTGAGATCCAGGTTGTAGATGAAATTTTTAACGAATATGCTGCCAAGAAGATGGGCATAGACCACAAGGGCCAAGTTTGTGTGATGATCCACAGTGGCAGCAGAGGCCTTGGCCACCAAGTAGCTACAGGTATCTAGTCTTTTTCTTCCTTTCTTCTTCTTTGCCCTTGAAACTTTTCCCCCTTCTTGCAAGTATCCACAAACTCCAGTTACTGCTTAATGCGTTGTTTCCTCCCAATCTTCATGCATGTCATTGGCATTTGTGGAAGCCTCAGATATGTCCAGTTTCTGGGTATGCTAGTTTAGATGGGCTTAATGGAGACCTACACTGAATTTGCTTTTTGTCTCTCTTCCCACCCCCCACCCCCCTTTACAGATGCCCTAGTGGCTATGGAAAAAGCTATGAAGCGAGACAAGATCATAGTGAACGACCGCCAGCTGGCATGTGCCAGGATTGCTTCCCAGGAGGGACAGGACTACTTGAAGGGAATGGCAGCAGCTGGAAACTATGCATGGGTCAATCGTTCTTCCATGACTTTCCTCACCAGACAGGTGCGAAGAAAGAGCATGAACTTGTTCACTTCCATCTCTTTAAGCCCCAGTGGGATCAATTCAGCTGCATTCTGATTGATTGACACCTGGGTAACATTTCTGGAACAATTAAATTATTTTGTTCCAGAAGTTAATCCATATCACTCCACATTGGTAGGAAGAGGTTGGCTTAACTGGCTTGTGGATTGGTGATGCAGTTCCTTGTCATCTTCCTCATAAACAAATATATGAATGGGGCTGGGCCCCATTAATGAGTTTTGTCTTTCTTGGGAGGAAAATGGACTTTCCCCTTGAACTTTAAACTGCTGAGTTACATTCAGTAGAGCAATGTGAGGGCACTGCAGAGAGTAGATGCTGGAGGTGTGGTTCCACCACTGCCATCATGGTAACAGCCATAAGTTATGTGTTCATCAGATGATTTGGGCTCTCACCAGCCCTTTTTTTTTTTTAATTCAGAGGACTGCTCCTTATGTCTATAATGTTTTCTAGGCTTTTGCTAAAGTCTTCAATACCACTCCTGATGATCTGGATCTGCATGTGATCTATGATGTATCTCACAACATTGCCAAAGTAGAGCAGCATGTGGTAGATGGAAAAGAACGGACCCTGCTGGTGCACCGGAAAGGAACAACCAGAGCTTTCCCTCCTCACCACCCCCTCATTGCGGTTGATTACCAGGTACGAATTTGTTGCCCTTTTCTTTCTTGCCAATGCCAACAGGTCCTGCAATAGTATATTTGTTACTCCTCGTGGACTTCCACACCTAACAGCTCATGTTCCTACAATTGCGTTGGTGCACTTTTCTACCTTATTTCTTTTCATGCAACCATGCAACCTTCTAGCTGTCAAGACTTATATTTCTCAATGTCTGCTGTACTGCTGTATTGCAATCAAAACATCCTGATTGGTCAAATTTTGCATGTCTCCTGTCTGACATTTCCTTGATTCACTATGGAAGCTTGACCCTGAGTGGATCAGTAGTGACCTTCAGTGGACCCTTGCTGAGCAGCATATGCTTACAGCTTGAGGGGATGTGTCATATTGATTCTGCACTCTTCTTTTGCCTCTGCAGCTGACTGGCCAGCCTGTCCTGATTGGTGGAACAATGGGAACTTGTAGCTATGTCCTTACTGGTACCGAACAAGGCATGACTGAAACCTTTGGTACCACCTGCCATGGAGCGGTGAGTAACAAAGCAACTTTCAACTTTCATCTAGCTTGGGGGTGGGCAGCCTTCCATCTAGTGGGATATATTTTGTTTATTACCAGAACCCCAAGTTCCATCAACTGGAGCCTTGTGCAGAACCCATATGCTGCCAATGAAATACTTGCAGCAGGAGAACAATAGCTGGGAGTCAGGTAGTAGATTTAGCAAGCAGATTTCAAACACCCAGTGATTTACTGGTAGATCCAGATTTACTTTGCCCATCACTGCTCTTACTCAAGTGCTTCCTCGCTTCACATTTACCGTATTTTTCGCTCCATTAGACGCACTTTCCCTCCTAAAAATGTATGCATCCCAGGCCCTGCTCAGTGCTCCCTTTAAAAAGTGCACGGAGCGTGTGTGCGGCTCTTGGGGGCTTTTCCCCGAGGAGGGAGAAGGGCAGCCCGTCAGTGACTGGCTTCTGGGATTCAGAATGTTTTTTTTCTTGTTTTCCTCCTCCATAAACTAGGTGCGTCTTATGGTCTGGTGCGTCTTGTAGAGCGAAAAATATGTATTGCTCAGTGGTATGTCTGTAGGACTAGGGTGCAGCATTTGTAAGAATCCTATCTATAAATGCTGCTTGTTTAATCTCCAATAATTAAAATGTACATTGACTTCATTTGAATTGCATAGGACATTTTCTTTCTCTAACTGAAGATGGTAACAGCAAGGGTATGAAAATAAAATCACTTCATGTGTGACCACCTTTTCAGCATCCAAGTTCCTCATACCTTTAAATAGATGTGCATATGTGTGAACTATTGTTAATGCAGTTTTCAGACCACGGAAAGGCCTGCTCTCATGTTGCAACCCTCTGGGTCTCTTCTGAAGGAGGCACACAAAGATATGCAGGCCTAAAAGTTGTTGGGCTTGTTGCATTCATTAGCACAAAATGGTCAGGGCCCTGTTTAGTTGACACTTTCTGGATGCCTGTTGTCAGTGTCTTATTTTCCCTGAAGGGTATATGGCAGTAACTGAAACAGTGATTGTCGTTTTTAGGGCCGTGCATTGTCACGTGCAAAATCTCGGCGCAACTTGGATTTCCAGGACGTATTGGACAAGCTGGCGGACATGGGGATTGCAATCCGGGTTGCATCCCCCAAACTGGTTATGGAAGAAGTAAGTGATTTATAAACTTCTTTGTGGGAATTTACTTCTGGAGTGAGCTTCCTCTCCTGGTGAAGTGTTAATGTCTGCCAGCAACAAGGGGACACATCACTTTATTGGACTCTGCCATTCTAGGAACCTTAAACCTCTTCCAGGCTAAAATGGTTTCCTCTTCTCTCCCCTTCCCTCATTTGGGAACATCCAGTGTCCCATGTCATTGTTCAGAACATTCCTTTTGTATCACTAATAGAGTCTGAAAGGCAAGCGAATGTTGTACATTTCATTTCAGTTATTTCTTCTGATGCCCAAAAAACAGTTTTTTCCCTAAAGATTGAGGGAAGCTTGTTGAAAATTATTGTTGTTATTACTACTAGTACTACTACTACATTTCTATACCACCCTTCATCGGACAATCACAGGATGGTTTACAGTACACCTGTTCAAAAGGACTTAATATAGTCTTTCATAAACAATAATGGGGGGAAATAGGTGCTCTCCTTGTGTAAGTTCTCCTGTCTTTTTAAGTTTGGTAATATGGGATCTGCTGAAAGCCCCCCCCCCTTTTTTTTTTTGAGGGAGCTACTATAGGAGGAGGAAGAGCCTTTTCAGTGGTAGCACCAATCTGCTTAATTATTCTTTAAGAACCTCCCTTTAACCCAAGTCTTGAGAAATCAAAGGAAGGCATTACTCTTTTAAGCACACATTTTGGAGAGTTTATCTGAGATTACTGGCCTTGTATCAAGGAAAGCCTAAGTGATTTTGCTTAGATGATTTTTGAAATTAAATCACATAGTTAAAATGATTTTTATTCCAGCATTATATTAATCTTATGAATGTATGCATGTATTGAGAGCCTTGTGTATTACAAGCTGCCTGGTAGCTTTTTGAATGATGTGGAATAGAAATTGATAGTTTAATTATTATTACTATTAACAGAAAAAGACCTCAAAACATATTCTTAACTCTGCTTTTACATCTCATTTATCTCAGGCCCCTGAATCTTACAAGAATGTGACGGATGTGGTTAACACCTGCCATGCAGCTGGCATCAGCAAGAAAGCCATTAAACTGAGACCCATAGCAGTGATCAAAGGCTAAGGAAGTCTTTCCCTGAATTGGCCAGCACTGTTCTTTCTGAAGACCTTTTCCCACCAGAGCGCTTGAAGGTTGTTTCCATCTAGAATACAAACTGACACAGACTCTATGTTAGAACTCATTAAAGTAAGTTTGTGCCTGGGGGTGAGGGGCTCTCTTTGCTAAGAGGAGCTAAATCAAGACACATAGCCCTTCATTTCTAGAGTGGTATCTAAAATTGGGTGAATTTCTTTTAGCAGAATCTAAAAGCAACCTTGTTCAGAAGATTCTTCACTCTTAATAAATTATCTGTGCCCTTCATGGTGAGATTCTGACCAATGTTGATTTGATAGCCACCAATTTGCAAGGAGGCTTTCTCTGGTGTAGACCAAGTACAAATACTACTGTTCTCACTTGGTTGTTTTTGTATTTTTCTCCTGACATGAGTTGTTTGATCTCCTTTATAATGTACCAGTCTGTACTATTGGAGATAGAAAGGGAATCTTTTTTTGCACTGTGAGTTGCAATAAAGCCTGAACAATATCATTCATCTATGTGGCATGACTACTGTCACAGGTACTCTACTTTAAAAGTCTATGATCAAACAGTTGCTCCCATAAGTGCACTAGCATGGTGGTTCTGTTGAATGAGGGGTGGTAGGTTTGCACAAGCTGTGTTGCCCATGATTCACTTGGTACAGCAGGTTCTCTGTGTATGTATGTTTACTGGAATCCCTGATTACAGCTCACTTGGAAAACTTTGTTAGAGAAAGTTGGTATTCCTTGAAGAGAAGCCAACTTTCCCTTGATGTCCCTCATGAATCAGGGCATCCATATGCTATAGAAGCTGTAATTGCTTTGGCATGGACAGATTGTGTCCTAGCACTAGAGAAATGAGAAACATAAGCTGAGCAACCATTCGAGGTACATAAGCCTTGTCTTCCATTGCACCTGGTCATTCAGAAGATAAGGAACATTTCCTCTTAAAGCAGCAAGCTGGAGAACTTACCCAGCAGTCTTGCTACTTTTCAGTGAGTAAAGCTTTAGATTACTCTTTAAAACTGCAAAGGAGCATGTCAGTTAGCTGTGCGCATAAAATGCAAAGCTAACCCACTTACCACAAAAATGCAGGTTCCCAGAGAGGAGATTGAAGCCACTTCACTCCTTCCTCCAAGTCCTGCTGCTGTGAGCTAAACTTGGGCATGGCTTAGTGTTGTCTGTACACAAGCTTGTGGTTTGTCTCGCTTCACATAAACCACAAGCTGTAACCGGGGTTCATTCTTGGGTTCACAGCTCATGGTTTGTCTAAAGGAGACAAAGCACCATCCTAGGTTCAGGTGACATGCTAAGCCAAACCATGGTTTAGCTCACAGCAGGAGTAGTGTTGGCAGTCTCCTCCCTGGCAATACTTACGTGTTCTCACCATGGTTTGACTTTGCTTTATGTGTGAACTGGCTCACTATGTAGAAGGGGGAATTGTTCACTCCTCATCTCATGGGCTGCTGTTCGCACATGCACATTGCAGATGGGTGGGGAAGCAGCAAAGTTACCTCTGTTTGGGTACAGATTAGGACGATTTCAGCAGGACCAGCATAGGTTATTTCCCCCCTTCTGGCGCTGCTGTTTTCTGTTTACATTAAAGTGCTCCAGTACTTGATCTGCTGGATGGTTAGATTTTGAAAACACTATTGCCATCCTCTCATGAAGTAACCGTGATGGCTGCTCTATTCCACAATAAGCATGATTTGCAAAGTCATTGTTTGAATTTTATTGACATTCTGGAAGTGATTTTCTAGAGAGGTCTCAAAACTGACAAATAAACAGAGAATGCAAGAAAGTCACTGCAAAGTGTCATTATTTATATTTCATGTAAAGAAAATTACATTTAATTTAGAAATAAGATGGAAGTCTCCTTGAGTAACCTGGTGATCCTCACACTTACCTTAGATGCTGTGGAAAAATAGTTAACCTTGAACTTTGCAAATCACCTCTTTGCAATTTACTTATCTGAGATTGCAGTGCTATACTTGTTTATATTTAAGCAAGTTCCAGTGTGCTCAGTGGGGTGTGGACCTGTGTAGGATTTCACTGTGACTTTCCCCCAGCTAAATGGTGTAAATCCAACTACAGTCAGTAGGGGGCATCTAGCTAAAGGGAAACGTAAGAAATGCAGAAGCTGTGGAGTAACTTCTCTAGGAGAGCTTGAAACAAGCCGCTTGGTAAAGAATCCAACCTGGCCCTTTCTTGTTCCGTGGATTCCTCTGGAAAAGATTGTTCTAGATGCTTGCTGATGTCAGCAGGGACTTGGAATTAACTTAAAAGGGGGTAATAAAATGCAATATTGCTGAAACGCAGGCCAAAACAACAACAAAATGGTTGTAATGGCTATATAAAATCTGCCCTCCAGGGCACTAGGATGACTCACGTGCAAGCTGAATTGCCTCACCCCTTATGTTGGCTTAGCACTACTATTTAAGAGTGGCGTTGAGCACATTCTCATACTTAAGAAGGCAGAAGAAGCCTAGCAAACGTGGCATGCTGACAACTTGGTGAAAGCAGTTCTGCCCTATGGTAGTGCGAAATCTTCACTAAGACATATCCTGTCCATTCTCTGGGGATGGGAGACCTTGGGGCCAGGGACCAAGTGTGGCTTTTTATCTGGCCGTTGGGCCTCTCCCCAGGCCACACACCTTCCTGAGTTACACCCTTTGACGGCCCTGCTTTCGCCTGGCTGGAATACGCTCTTGAAGTCTGGCGATACCACCTGCTTTCGTGGATGGAGAATGGGGAAGCAGGGGTGAGTGTGAATCAACTAGCCTGCTGGGCAGAAGTGAAATGCACGTTCATTACTTGGTCCCCTTTTGCCTCCAGCTCTGCTCAGCGCTAGCATGTGGCCCCCAGAAGGTTATGTAGAAGGGAAGGTGGCCCTTGGGCTGAAAAAACTGTTCACCACCTTTGCAGTAAACCATGAATACATATCTGCTGGGATAGCTCAGATGGTAGAGCATGAGACTCTTAATCTCTGGGTCGTGAGTTCAAGCCCCACATTGGGGGGGGGGAATCCTGTCTTGCAGGGGGTTGGACTAGATGACCCTTGGGTCCCTTTCAGATCTATGATTCTGTGACACTGGCGCCTAGCCCGCTTGCCCTACAAGCTTGTATCCCAAAGGGATGAATTAGATGGGCTTTTAAACAGATCTGATTACAGATCCCTGGTGCGTTTGCACTGCGCTGTCTTCCACCTCTTCCTCCTGGCAGAGACGGCACTGGTGGCTCAACTTGCTGTCTGCTACAGGGACTGAGGTTGCTCAGGACTAATGCTAAGGCTCCATTGCAAAAGGGAAATGAGAGCAGGAAAATGGAGATTAAACAGTCTACTACTTCAGGATGGCATGGCTGGTTGGAACTCTACACAAGAGCGCTCTTAGCAGGAGGTGAGGATCCATTGTAGGCGGGGCGGATGCACTAGGAAACTAACAAAGCTTCAGCTTCACAGCCCCTAATCCTGGCGGGTCCCCAGGAGTGACTTTACTCATGCATACCCCACAAAACTTGAAAACTCTGAGGCATAGGAAATATTCACACCAGTGACTTTGACATGAGGTAATCCAGTACAGTAGTAACTCTGGATGTGAACGGGATCCATTCCAGAGCCCCGTTCGCATCCTGAAGCGAACGCAACTTGCGTCGCAATTTGCCGCTTCCGTGCATGCGCGTAACGTCATCTTGAGCGTCTGCGCATGCGCGAGCGGTGAAACCCGGAAGTAACGCGTCCCGTTACTTCTGAGTCACCGCGGAGCGCAACCCGAAAACGCTCAACCCGAAGCTACTTCAACCCAAGGCATGACTGTACATCCATTTAAATCAAAATCTGAGATCATGTGATCATATTGTGAAGTTGGAAGGGACCTAAAGGGGCAGCTAGTCCAATCCCTTGCAATCACAGCTGTCCCTGGGTGGGCTTGAACCATCAGCCTTCTGGGCTGCATCAATAGGAGTATAGCATCTAGATCAAGGGAAGTAATAGTGCCACTGTATTCTGCTCTGGTCAGACCTCACCTGGAGTACTGTGTCCAGTTCTGGGCACCACAGTTCAAGAAGGACACTGACAAACTGGAACGTGTCCAGAGGAGGGCAACCAAAATGGTCAAAGGCCTGGAAACGATGCCTTATGAGGAACAGCTAAGGGAGCTGGGCATGTTTAGCCTGGAGAAGAGGAGGTTAAGGGGTGATATGATAGCCATGTTCAAATATATAAAAGGATGTCACATAAAGGAGGGAGAAAGGTTGTTTTCTGCTGCTCCAGAGAAGCGGACACGGAGCAATGGATCCAAACTACAAGAAAGAAGATTCCACCTAAACATTAGGAAGAACTTCCTGACAGTAAGAGCTGTTTGACAGTGGAATTTGCTGCCAAGGAGTGTGGTGGAGTCTCCTTCTTTGGAGGTCTTTAAGCAGAGGCTTGACAACCATATGTCAGGAGTGCTCTGATGGTGTTTCCTGCTTGGCAGGGGGTTGGACTCGATGGCCCTTGTGGTCTCTTCCAACTCTATGATTCTAAGATTCTGGTTAACAAAGAGATGCACTGACCCATTGTGCCATGGAGCAGTTGCTTTTTGTTTTTTAAGTGGTGATCTGTTGTGGAAAAACCCCACTGAAGACCTTGTTCCAGACCTTGTTGCTGGTTGCGAAGGGGCCCCCATATCAGTTCAAACTTCAGGGACCCCAAATGTAGGTCCTACATGAGAGTTCTGTGGAGAATCGTGCATTGTGTAAAATAGGACTGACCAGACTTCAGGCTTGTGGGACCTCTTTTGTGTGTGTTTGTCTTTGCTAGAGACTTGAAGTCTACCAATCAACCAAAGCCAAGTGCAAACTGTAGCTCAGGAGGGAAGAAAGCCAGATGCCAAATGGTAGCTTAGGGGGCCAAGGCTTACTGCACCCCGTGATCCATATGTCAGATGAATATGAAAAACAAATCTATATTTGAGTTATTACAGATAGGGGTTCCAACAGCCCAGTTCAGCAAGAACAAAAAATGGCTCTCTCGCCAGTTGTTAAATAATTGTTGGAATTGTTGCCAGTTGGAAAGCCTTATTCTCCAGTAGATCCCAATACACCTGACCCCTGCAGTAAAGAAGCACTTCCCAACAGCTTTCTGAACAGTTGTCCGTTACCATGGCTGATCTCAAGCCTGTATTCTGAGAAAGGGAAGAAAGCAATTCTGTTGGTGTGTCCACCGTGTGCCCCTTCCCTCCGTTCCAGCTCTTCAAGGGGATATTTTTCCACAGGTCAGGCCATCGTAGACACTCTCCCAAACCCACATACCACCTGCCTCTAAGCTGGTGGTCCTTCTGCACAGTCCTTTTTAGGAGTGTGCACTTACTCCTCCTTGGCAAAGGCAGCTGCGCTGTTGCCTTTGTTCTTCTATATTATAAATATGCTTAACTAGCTCCCTGCTCTCTTCAAAGAGAGAGTCTGCCTCAAGCATGTATCAACATGTGTGCGAGGCTTCAGCCGGAAACCTTCCATTAAAGAGAGAGCGAGAGCCTGGTTTGTAGCTGGTATTTCTTTCCCTTTGTCCTTTTCCGGTGATGGGTTAAGGCATGGCGGAGACCCAAAGCTGCTAGCATCCTCAAAGCAGTTTTTAAAACTTAACCGGCCACAAGTTTAGCTTCAATGCAAAAAAGAAGGAAAAAGAAAACCTGATGAGGTGCTAAGAAATTAATTGAGGGGAGAAGTGTGCTATGTTACGGCCTGGCATGTTTCAAGTATGATATAATTATATGACCCAACGGCACAAGGCAAATCTATATATTTTGGAAAACTGTCTGTCTGTCCTTCTGTTCTCTGAATTTGGATACCCCTTAAGCTGTCAGAACCAAATTTTACATAGAGGTACCTGAGATCAAGGAGTGTTTTTTTGGTCTGTGCTTGGATACGATGAGACGCCGTTAGAAATCAAGATGGCAGGTGGAATATTTCAAAACTACACTGATTTTAACTGCTGATTTCCAAACCACTGATTTTTTTTTTAATGCTTTATTAGAATTCCCAAGCAATGCTCGCTACAAGGGTGCTATAAAAAATTAGGAGAAGAGTGCCTCAGGTGTCAAAATAACTTGGCTGGCCTTTGGTAGTATTCACCTTGACTCCAGCATGGTGGTGAGGTTCATTGGTTGGTCAGTCTCGGGCAGCAAAATGTCTTTACCCAGTGCTGTTCCTGTGCTTCAGATACAGATGGCTATCTTCCATCTTTTACACTGCTTGGAGGCCAAGACCCAACTGTCCCTTCATATGACTTCTCCTTTGCTGCTAACATTGCTGAACAAACCAGTTCTAAGGGCTATATGGCACATTTTTCTGGTCACCACACATGAGCCATGCTGGTCTCCATGCAAAGGAACAAAAAAAGTGTTATGATTTTTTATTTTTTTACCTGCTAGAAGCCAAATATAAGTTGCACATATTTTTATTACAGGGCTTTTGCCACCCACAAACAATATCCTTTGCCCCTTCCTTCCTAGAGTAGAACATAAAAGTGATAATTTTGAACTTTCTAATTGTCATCTTGCAAGCTGCATGCTTAGCTGCCACTGATCATTACGGGGGATTATGGTAAGCACCAAACTGTTGGTTTGGGCTTCTTTTTTTAATGGTGCAGAAAAACAATTTGGGCTCAGAGACTGCCGTAACTTTAACACAGAAGTCTTTTCATCCTAAACAGGAACAGAAGGAGCTCAGCTGCCTTGTAATCAGCAGATCCAAAGGGCCATTCGGCAGCTTGTTATTCCCTGTCCTCACTGCCTTAGGTCTGGGACCTTAAATCCTTAAACT